GGGCCTGTGACGAAGGCAGGATGGGGCCACGCTCCAGCCGAGGCCTGGCCAGTCCCACGGGCTCCGCAGAGGCCTTCCTGGGCGGAAGGCGTGTGGGATGGGCTGTGGGGGCGTCAGGCTGTCACCAGTTGGGCTTTGCCCCAAGACGGAGGCGCCCTGTGTGCAGTGTCTCCACCCTGCTTGGGGTCAGCTTCCATCGACTCCCGTGGGGGTCTCCCAGCCTGGGCCTCCTCCGAGGACCCCCAGCCCCTCCTTGGGAGTCTGCCCTTCATATCTTGGGACCCTGTGGGCGGGATGGGGTCTGACGTCTCCCCCATTTCAGCTGGAGCTGGACGGCAAGTATGCCAACAAGACCTGTGGGCTCTGTGGCGATTTCAACGGCAGCCCCGCGTCCAGCGAGTTCGTCGTTCACAGTAAGGCTGCCGGCGGGCCCACGCAGAGCCCCCCGGGGTCTCAGACTCCGGGAGCCCCAGTCCAGCATCTCCAAACAGCATGCAAACATTCCCCACACGTGACGCACTCTGCGTGCGCCCACACGCAGGCCTGCCGAGGCACAGCTCCCGCACACACCTCACACGCGTGCTGCCCCCCGGCCTCCGCCCGTCTGGCGGGTAGGAACCAGGGTCCCGTATGGTTAGTGCCAGGCTGGAGCCCTCGGCTCCTCCCTCTCCTCACGCAGCTCCAGACTCCCCGAGTGTCCGGGCAGAGGACTGGGACGTGTGTTAGCAGGATGACTCAGGCCTCCCGGCAGAGCGCCAGCCCCCGGCAGGGATCTAGCCCCAGGAATTCACGGGGCTGAGGCCCAGGGCCCACAGGCAGGGCTGGCTCTGTGTCTCTTGCAGATGTCAAGCTGACCCCCCTCGAGTTTGGGAACCTGCAGAAGATGGATGGTCCCACAGAGCAGTGCCAAGACCCCGTCCCGGAGCCTCAGAAGAACTGCTCAAACAGCCACGTGAGCCTTGAAGCGAACTGGCCAGGGGGAGGTGGGAGGGGGGCGGGGGACGGGGAGCAGCAGTGAGCCATGAGGGGGAGGGGGAGGGGGCGGGGGACGGGGAGCGGCAGCGAGCCCCAGAGGACAGACACCCCAGCGCACTCTGAGCGGAGGCTCAGCACAGGCTCCTGTCTTGCCCAGGGCATCTGCGATGAGATCTTGAGAAGCCGGCTGTTCTCCGGCTGTGCGGCCCTGGTGGACGTAGGCAGCTACGTGGAGGCCTGCCGGCAGGACGTCTGCCGGTGCGCCCACGCCCACCTGCCCACCTGCCTCTGCCACACCCTGGCCGAGTACTCGAGGCAGTGCGCCCACGCGGGAGGGCAGCCGCAGGACTGGCGGGGTCCCGACCTCTGCCGTGAGTGCCCCCAGCCGGGCGCCCCTCCTCCGTCGCGCCATCCTGGGGTCGGGGGGAAGGGGCCGGGGCCAGGACGTAAACCCATGCTGGTGGTCTCCGCAGCCCGGACGTGCCCCCTCAACATGCAGCACCAGGAGTGCGGCTCGCCCTGCGTGGACACCTGCTCCAACCCCCAGCGCTCCCAGACCTGCGAGGACCACTGTGTCGCTGGGTGTTTCTGCCCCAAGGGTAAGATGGGGTTCAGCCCTGCACGCCCATGCACAGAGGTGCACCTGCATTCTGGGCTCCAGGTGGCCATCTTCCGTGGCTGAGCCTTGGAGAAAAGACCCCTCTGACCCCTGACCGGAGGTGTCCTGGGCTGTCGATGCTGGCCGAGGCCCCGGCTGGCGCCTACCTGCCACACAGCCCGGCTGTTCTCTGCAGGGCTGGTGCACGATGACATCGGCCAGACTGGCTGTGTGCCGGTGTCGCAGTGTGCCTGCCTGTACAACGGGACTGCTTATGCACCGGGAGCCAACTACTCTACAGACTGCACCACGTGGTAGGTCCCGGGCTCCTGTGGCCTGCGGAGGGGCCGGATGGCCTGTTGCTCCCGCGGCCAATGCGTGTTATCCCTGTTCCCGCTGCCTGCAGTACGTGCTCTGGAGGCCGGTGGGGCTGCCGGGAGGTCCCCTGCCCAGGCACCTGCTCCGTGCTGGGCGGTTCCCACTTCTCCACGTTCGATGAGAGGCAGTACACAGTGCACGGAGACTGCAGCTATGTGCTGACCAAGGTAGGGCCTGGGCTGTCTCTCGTTCTCTGCTTTCTGGGACGCACCCGGCGGGGTCCCAGGCTCAGCCTCCTGGTTTAACTCCCCCGACCGAGGGTCTCACATCTCAGCCGTCCTTGGGAATACCTGGTGTGAGATCTTGAAGAAATGCCCTGTCCTCAAATGTGGGCTCCGCAGGGACACCTGCGTTCCCTCGATGGAGGACAGTCCAGTGCCTGGCTGATGCCTCTGACCTTGAGCTTTGTCTTTGTTTTGGTAGCATTGGGCTTGAACTCAGGGTCTCTTGCTACACAGGTACCAACTAAGCCATGCCTTCAGCCCTGAAGTTTTTGTTTAATAAACTTGGTAATAATAAGAATTATTAGGGAGACACAGGGGTTTGAACTCGGGCCTTTGTGCTTGCTAGCCAAGGGCCCATTAACAAGCTATTTCTCCCGTTAGATTGTATTTTTTTTTTTGCCAGTCCTGGGGCTTGGACTCAGAGCCTGGGCACTGTCCCTGAGCTTCTGTTGTTGATGCTCTACCACTTGAGCCACAGCTCCATTTCTGGCTTCCTGTGGTTGATTATTTGGAGGTAAGAGTCTCACGGACTTTCCTGCTCAGGCTGGCTTCAAACAGTGATCCTCGGATCTCAGCCTCCCGAGTAGCTACGCTTACAGGTGTGAGCTACCAGTGTCTGGCTATACTGCATTTTTAAAGAGCAGTTTTAGGTTTACAAATTGAGCAGAAAGTCCAGAGAATTCTCATGTACTCCCATCCTCAGTCCAGTTTCGCCCCACGTTAACTTTTTACATTAGTGAGATTTTGTGACAATCGAGGGGTCAAAATCGACGCCTCATTGCCACGATGCCTGGGCCATGGCATCGTCCATCATGTGGCTCCCATCACCTGACATCCCTCACCGGGCGCTGAGCGCGGGAGCCGCCGTGTGGCACCCCTCCTGCTGCTCTTGGTGTCGTGCAGTGTGCTGTGTCTGCCATCGTAGTGTCACACCACAGAGCTGTGTCATACAGAATAGTGCCACTGCCTGGGCACCTGGGATGCCTGCTCACCCCCTCTGGTCACGTGGTTGGAATGATCGCTGGCCACCTTCTTAGATTTCTTCCACACAGTGGGCGATTGCCATTCCCCTGTGTGGGCTGCGGGGCAGGGGAGGGGTCCCCATTTGGGGATCTGAAAGCACAGCTCCCTGGGATTGGGGGGAGGTGCTGCTGAGGAGCCCAGTGAAGGGACACAGCATGGGCCGGAGGAGAGGGAGGATGAGGTGGGTGGTAGGGACAGTGCCTGAGGACCCGTGCTGTGTCCGCAGCCCTGCGACAGTGGCGCCTTCACTGTGCTGGCTGAGCTGCGCAGGTGCGGGCTGACCGACAGTGAGACCTGCCTGAAGAGCGTAACGCTGAGCCTGGGTGGGGGGCAGACGGTGAGTGCCACAGGCGGGGGGAGGGGGCAGTGCCGCGGGGGAACACAGGCCCGGGATGACCCAGGGAGGGGGGGGTCCTGTGGCGTGTCACCTGTGCCCACGTGATGGGCAGCAAGTGGCTGTGGGCTTCTCCCCCACTGGCTGCTGCTTGAGTCTTCTCAGTGCCTATCCCTAAGTGGAGAGGCTCAGGGACGGGATGCCGAGCCCCAGGCCTGGCCCACCTGGTCCTACGTAGGTAGGAGAGGCTGCAGCATCTCTGGCCAACAGGCTTCTTCACTGAAGTTGATTTTTTTTAACAGACTTTGGGCTGTAGATGTCATGGGTGGGGGGAAGTTCTCATAAAGTTTAGGAAAGTAGAATAGGAATCAGAACACCTCACGGGGGTCGTGACCCTCGGGAAGATGGTCTCCAGGCCCCTCAAGGACACATTTCACAGCCTTGGCCGGGCACCAAGGGAGAGGGTAGCTGGAGGGACAAAGCCCTAGGCCTGAGCCACACGCTGACTTGTTGTGTGTGGCCACTTCCAGGTTGTCGTGATGAAGGCCAGTGGAGAGGTCTTTGTGAATCAGATCTACACGCAGCTGCCGGTCTCTGCAGGTGAGGGCGCTGCCTGCAGTCTCCCTGTGCACCCCACCCCCCAATCACAGGCCGCCTCTGGGTCTCCTCCCGAGCCCCAGCACAACCTGTGTGCTCTTCATCTGCAGCCAACGTCACCCTCTTCAGACCCTCAACCTTCTTCATCATCGCTCAGACCACCCTGGGCCTGCAGCTGGATGTCCAGCTGGTGCCCACCATGCAGGTGTTTGTGCGGCTGGCACCTGAGCTCCGGGGACTGACCTGCGGTAAGAGCGCCATCTCCAGGCTGCCTGACTGACCCCATCCCAGAGCCCACCTGGGTCTCAAGCTGCCTTCTCTTTCCCCCTCCTCCCCCAGGTCTCTGCGGGAACTTCAATAGCATCCAGGCTGATGACTTCCGGACCATCAGTGGGGTGGTGGAGGGCACTGCTGCTGCTTTCTTCAACACCTTCAAGACACAGGCTGCCTGCCCCAATGTTAAGAACATCTTTGAGGACCCCTGCTCGCTCAGCGTGGAGAATGGTATATGTGGGCATTGGCTGCCCAGGGCTGGTCTACCCACCCCCATTGCTGAGCTGGGCACTTGCTCAGTGCCCTCTGACCCTGGCGAGGGTTCAGCTCTCTGCTCTGAATGGAGGTCATTAGGCAAACTCACCATGTGCTGGGTGGCAAGTGAGGCAAGTCTGGGTGCCCCAGGGCAGATTGAAGGCTGGTGTCCATGTCTGGGTGTGGTGGTGGACAGCCGGTGTCCATGTCTGGGTGAGGCAATGGAAAACGGCCCTGAAATGGTCACAGCCAAGGTCACAGCCAGCCACCTGCCTTGTCACTGAGCACCCAGAATCACACTTTGGGCCTCTGCTTCTGGGCCTCTCTTGACCTACCAGTGATATTAGTTACTCAGCCTCCTGGACCAGGCAAGGTGCAAGAGGCAAGGAGTTCAGCCAGTCCTGACTCCATCACTGCCTGCCCTGGCATAGTTATCTTGGCTTACCTATCCATAGTGAGGGCCTCTCATACCCCTAGAAGATAGTGGCTCTGAGGAGGGGCTGGGGGCGGGGAAGGGGGAGGAGCCTGGGCCGCGGCTGCTCCGTGCTCCCTGTGTGTGGGAGGACACTGCATCCCCAGTCTGCAGTGCTGTGTTCAGTGTGACAGCGCTTGCCATGTCTGTTGGTACAGATGCCAGAACCTCCAAACCTCAGGCAGGAGCAACCAGGAGTGCAGGTGTGTGAGTAGCCGATGGCTTCTTTTCTGTCCACAGAGAAGTATGCCCAGTACTGGTGCTCACAGCTGACAAACTCCAACGGCCCTTTTTCCCAGTGCCACGCCACCGTGAACCCTGCTGCCTACTACTCGGTAACACTCTCTGCCAGCCTCTGGATACAACCCCACCACTGGGCTTGTGGGGTTCCCCACAGAGGGCTGTGGAACTCTGAGGAGGGGCACCTGGTGGGCAGTGGGCAGCGGGGTCTGGAGGAAGCTCTGTGCTGTGGTGCCATTTCCTCATTCTCACACCTCATTCACTCACTCACTCATTCATCATTTCCATAAGCCCACACCAGCACAGGGACTAAACTCTGGGGGTTTTCAGCTAGCTGGACCCAAGGGCTAAGCGGGGAACCAGGAAGGGATAGAGCAGATGCATGTAGAACCCACACTTGATGGGTCACAGAGAGAAAACACCAGAGTTTTCCAAAACTCACTGTCCTGAGGACCTGATTAGAACCCTGAAGCTCCAAGAGGCAGCACCCAAGTCCTGTGTGCTGCACAAGTACTTCTCACCAGGGCCACGGGGGATCCTGGGGGAGCCAGGGAAGGTGGGGAGATGCAGGGACACTCAGCTTCCAGACCCCAGGCCAGCAGTGAAGATGTCCCCACGTGTGGGCGGGGTTCTTGGTGTCCTGACCTCCACCTGCAGAGCTGGGTGCTGAGGGACCCTGAGGGACATGGGGTTCCTGATGCCCCGACTTGCACCCTCAGAACTGCATGTTCGACACGTGCAACTGTGAAAAGAGCGAGGATTGCATGTGCGCGGCCCTGTCATCCTACGTGCGTGCCTGTGCGGCCCGGGGCGTGCTGCTCAGCGGCTGGCGGGATGGCCTCTGCAGTGAGTGTGCCTGGGAGGGCGCTGGGCCTGGCCCCCACCAGGCTTGGGGGAGGCCCCATCGTCTTCTAGGGCCTGGCTCCCTGGCTCTAAGGCTGAGCAACACCCAAACCACCACCGCCTAGTATCTGGGGAGCCAGAGGCCTCTGCCCACTGGGCTGCCAGCTGACCCCAGGCTGCTTACCACGACCCTCCTGAGTGTCCCCTTCCTGCCTCCTACCCCATAGCAAAACCCACCACCACCTGCCCGAAGTCAATGAGCTACCATTACCACATCAGCACCTGCCAGCCCACCTGCCGCTCCCTGAGCCAGGAGGATGTCACCTGTCAGGTCAGCTTTGTCCCTGTGGATGGCTGTGCCTGCCCCGAGGGCACCTTCCTGGATGACATGGGCAAGTGTGTGGCGGCAGCCAGCTGCCCCTGCTACCACAGAGGCTCCCTGGTCCCCAACGGCGAGTCCGTGCACGACAACGGGGCTGTCTGGTAGGGCTTGTGGGCCGGGCAGGGTGGGGACAAGGCAGGGTGGGGTCTGGTGGGTGGGGCCTGGCTGGTGGGTCTCCAGGCCCCAGGGGCCCAGAGCAGACATGCTGACAGCCCTCTTCTCCTAGCACCTGCACAACGGGGTCCCTGACCTGCATCGGAGGCCCTGCTCCCACCCCAGGTGAGGCGGGGTTGGGAATCACTGCCCTTAGGCTCCCTCATCTCCACGAGAAGCTCCCTATTTGGTGCTGGGGTCAAACAGACAAGAGGTTGTTGACTGGTTTCTCTGTGTCTGGTGTGGTATCTGCTCCCCACCCCTCAGTGCTGGTGAGGATGATGGGAGCAAGGACTGGCCACTTCCAACACTTAGCACACACAATCACACACACACATACCTCACAATCCACACACAGCACACACAATCACACACACACACACCTCACAATCCACACACACCTCCCCCATGCACAGCACACAATCACACACACACACACACCTCACAATCCACACACACTTCCCCCATGCACAGCACACAATCACACACACACATACCTCACAATCCACACACAGCACACACAATCACACACACACACCTCACAATCCACACACAGCACACACAATCACACACACACACACACACCTCACAATCCACACACACCTCCCCCATGCACAGCACACAATCACACACACACATACCTCACAATCCACACACACTTCCCCCATGCACAGCACACAATCACACACACACATACCTCACAATCCACACACAGCACACACAATCAACCACACCCATGCCTCACAATCCACACTTGCTTCCTCCATGCATATCACACACAATCACACACACCCACCTCACAATCCACACACGCCTCTCCCACACACAGCACACACAATCACACACACACACACCTCACGATTCACAATGCTTCCCCCCCACACAGCACATACAATCACACACACCTCATAATCCACACACACTTCCCACACACACAGCACACACAATCACACACACATACCTCACAATCCACACACAGCACACACAATCACACACACACACAACTCACAATCCATACATGCTTCCCACACACACAGCACACACAATCACACACACCTCTCACAATCCACACGGACACACTCTTTCCACACACAGCACAGATGTGCAGCTCTCCCACGTTCAGGGTGGTCGGATTTTTGGGAACATGCTCAAGGGTGGCAGCAGCTGCTCCCCTTTGGTGCAGCTGCCCCCCTGATGGTGGGAACGGGTCTACTGACTGGCCCTCCCTCCCCAGTGTGCGAAGCACCCATGGTCTACTTCGACTGCCGAAACGCTACAGCCGGGGCTACCGGGGCTGGCTGCCAGAAGAGCTGCCACACGCTGGACATGGCCTGTGTAAGTACCCTGTCATGGCTCCCACTGACTCCTGACCCCTGACCCTTCCTGCTGAGGGTGTTCCCCATGACCCCTGACCCTTCCTGCTGAGGATGTCTGTGGCTGCTCCAGTAGTGGGGTCAGAGAAGTCCACCAGCACACAGGAGCTTGGGACAGTGTGGCCAGACTGGTCCTTCAAAGACTCTGATACTCCTGGGGCCCTGCGGCCGTGTGCCAAGTCTCTTGGGGGTCGTGGCAGTCCAGCTTTGTCCCTGTCCACTCAGCCCTGTCCACCTCTCTTACAGTACAGCCCTCAGTGCGTGCCTGGCTGTGTGTGCCCTGATGGGCTGGTGGCAGATGGCGACGGTGGCTGCGTGGCTGTGGAAGACTGTCCCTGTGTGCACAACGAGGCCACGTACAGACGCGGGGAGACGATCCGGGTGGGCTGCAACACCTGGTACGTGGGCATCCGTACAGACGCGGGGCGACCATCTGCACGGGCTGTAACACCTGGCATGTAGGCATCCATACAGACACGGGGCGACCATCTGCACGGGCTGTAACACCTGGCATGTAGGCATCCGTACAGACGCGGGGCGACCATCTGGGTGGCTGTAACACCTGGCATGTGGGCCTCCAAGCCATCCTCAACCCCGAGACAGAGGCCAGGGCTGGGGAAAGAACGAGCCAGTGCAGAGGCCCTGCTGACTGACATGTCTGTCACGGGACATCCAGCCAGGAAAACTCTGGTCAGATACTTAAATCACCAGGTCCTCTTGGAGGTCACGGCCACCAGCAGGCCCTGCAGGGTCTCCCAGAGCCTCTGGGAGGGTCCCTGGCAGGGGCCCAGGCCTGACCTCTGTGTCCCACATAGCACCTGTGAAAGCAGAAAGTGGCAGTGCACAGATGAGCCCTGCCTGGCCACCTGCTCTGTTTATGGGGATGGCCACTACCTCACCTTTGACGGGCAGCGCTACAGTTTCAGTGGAGACTGCGAGTATACACTGGTGCAGGTATGTGTGTGGGGGTGAGTATGCACTGGTTCATGTGTGTGGGGACTGCTAGTATGCACTAGTGTAAATGTGTGGACGGCAGGGGGATTGTGTGCTGTGCAGGGGTGTGGACGGCAGGCGAGTGTGCACCATGCAGGGGTGTGGACGGCAGGCGAGTGTGCACTGTGCAGGGGTGTGGACGGCAGGCGAGTGTGCACTGTGCAGGGGTGTGCAGAGTAGGGAGTCAGCAGCCTGGGCCCAGCCACACAAGGCTGTCCCAGAATGCCTGTGGGCGCCCCACGCACCCCGTCTCCTCGGCCCTCCCAGGACCACTGCAGCGGGAACAGCAGTGCGCAGGGCACCTTCCGCGTGGTCACGGAGAACGTCCCCTGCGGCACCACAGGGACCACCTGCTCCAAAGCCATCAAGCTCTTCCTCGGGGTGAGAAGCCCAGGGTACCAGGAGCTCCACGGCCGGATGCAGGCCTGGGGCTGGGCGGGGGCTCCGCGGTGGGATGTGGGGGGCTGGGGCTGGGCGGGGGCTCCATGGCGGGATGGGGGGGCTGGGGCTGGGCGGGGGCTCCGCGGTGGGATGTGGGGGGCTGGGGCTGGGCAGAGGCTCCGTGGCGGGATGGGGGGCTGGGGCTGGGCAGAGGCTCCATGGCGGGATGGGGGGGATGGGGCTGGGCGGGGGCTCCATGGCGGGATGGGGGGGCTGGGGCTGGGCGGGGGCTCCGCGGCGGGATGGGGGGGCTGGGGCTGGGCGGAGGCTCCGCGGCGGGATGGGGGGCTGGGGCTGGGCGGGGCCTCCGTGGCAGGATGGGGGAGCCGGGGCTCTGCCAGACGCTGAGTGCTGTTTGTCACGCAGCACTACGAGCTGAAGCTGAGCGACGGGAAGGTGGAGGTGGTTCAGAAGGAGGCGGGGCAGGAGATGCCCTTCTCCATCCGCCAGGTGGGCGTCTACCTGGTGGTGGAGACGGACGTTGGCCTGGTGCTACTGTGGGACAGAAGGACCAGCATCTTCCTCAGGCTGGATCCAGAGTTCAAGGTGAGACGGAGACAGGAAGGCCACTGCACTGCTCACAAGGCCAGAGGGACCCAGTGGGCAGGGGACAGAGACGGAGACAAGGGCAGATTGAGAAGGTGCAGAGAGAGGCAGGATGCACAGAGACAGACAGAGCGACCCAGAGAGGAGACCGGCAGAGAAAGGTAGACACCGGGAGAGGGGGGAGGGGGTGGGGAGAGGGGGCGGGGCAGGGCCTCGCCCGCGGCTGTCCTTCTGCAGCCATAGCAGGTGGCGGTAGACTAGGTGGTCAGTCCTCTCTCAGCTCTAGACACTAGAATTGCAGACGAGACGCCGGCAGAGCTGCGTTCCCGCTTGGGCTTGGGTAGGCCACGGCGGCCTCTTTGGCCTCTGGGGCAGCCGTGCGGCCTTAGGGTGCTGGGGCGTGTGGGAAGGGGCCCCGGCTTACTTCTGCTCTTCCTGGGCTCCGCAGGGCAGGGTCTGCGGCCTGTGCGGGAACTTCGATGACAACGCCATCAACGACTTCACCACGCGGAGTCAGTCTGTGGTCGGAGACGCCCTGGAGTTCGGCAACAGCTGGAAGTTCTCCCCGTCCTGCCCCGATGCCCTGGTGCCCAAGGATCCCTGCACTGCCAACCCTTACCGCAAGTCCTGGGCCCAGAAGCAGTGCAGCATCATCAACAGCAAGACCTTCGCTGCCTGCCACGCCCATGTATGACGGGGGGGAGGCTGGCTGAGGGCAGGGGAGGGGGCGGTGGGGGCCTGGCTGAGGGCAGGGGAGGGGGCCTGGCTGAGGGCAGGGGAGGGGACCTGGCTGAGGGCAGGGGAGGGGACCTGGCTGAGGGCAGGGGAGGGGGCGGTGGGGGCCTGGCTGAGGGCAGGGAGGGGGTGGTAGGGGCCTGGCTGAGGCATCCTGGGGAGCAGGCAAGGAGGGAGATGCAGCCATCAGCCCAGGGTGCGTGCGGGGGCCAGGATGGGCTATCTGGGAGCCGGGGATTGAATGGGAACACCCGGTAGCCAGAACTCAGCAGAGCCAGGACCGCGCTACAGACACCAGCCATTTGCTTCCCTGAGCCCCGCTGGAAACGGGCCAGCAGACCAGGGTAGGCATCGGGGGTCCCTGGAGCTGAAGCCCTGTCTCCCCCAGGTGGAGCCCACCAAGTACTACGAGGCCTGCGTGAGCGACGCGTGCGCCTGCGATGCGGGGGGAGACTGCGAGTGTCTCTGCACCGCCGTGGCGGCCTACGCCCAGGCCTGCCACGACGTGGGCGTGTGCGTGTCCTGGAGGACGCCCGACGTCTGCCGTGAGTGCCGGGCGGGGAGGCAGCGCCGGGCCCTGGGGAGGGACGGAAGCGAAAGACCGCGGGGCCGCATCTGAGTGAGCCCTGGGTGCGGTTGAGGGGCTCTGTCTCGAGACCCCTGCGCCCCATCTCATGTCAGCCCCTCCAGGACCTGGGAACCAGGAGGGGCGGGACCAGGGTCACGCTCCCGGTTCTGGGTCACCGTGGCCGTGGCCGAGAGCGTGGGGTGGCGGGACCAGGGTCACGCTCCCGGTTCTGGGTCACCGTGGCTGCGGCCGAGAGCGTGGGGTGGCGGGACCAGGGTCACCCTTCCTGTTCTGGGTCACCGTGGCTGTGGCTGAGAGCGTGGGGTGGCGGGACCAGGGTCACGCTCCGGGTTCTGGGTCACCGTGGCTGTGGCCGAGAGCGTGGGGTGGCGGGACCAGGGTCACGCTCCGGGTTCTGGGTCACCGTGGCCGTGGCCGAGAGC